GGTGTTTGCTTAAAACAAGGTATACATGGAAAACTGAAATGAGAAGTATGACGAAAGCCATTAAGCATTTATTGAATGTTTACTATATGCCCCACCCTTTGCAGGTGGTGCACTATTCTCACAACAGCCTTGGGATGTATTATTGTCACTACTTTATACATAGGGAATCTGTTAATTGAGACTCTGAGTGTTTATTCACATAATTATATAACAAAAGTGATACAGACTGCACACAGAGCTGTGTGATTCCTAAGACCATGCATGCTCTTTCAACTGTGCTTAATCATCAGAGTGTGTAAGGTTACCATCACTAAGAATGTATGAGTGAGGTACATAATTATCCCTCTGTAGCCTCATCACCTTTTTATATGAGAGTTTATAGACAAAAGACCATAGAGCAGGTACTTATGTACCTTACAATTCTGGAAACTATCCCCAGAGACTTTTATAGAGAAAGTGATACTTTCACCAGGTAATTGAAAGTCAAAACTTTATCAGCTCTGAACATGGACTGTAGCCAGCTGAGGGCACCTAAAGACTGACCAGCTTCTTGCTGTTCTACTAGGGATCTGCAGTTTTTCCATTAAATAATCAGTGAAACACTTCTTCAAGCACAGGCTTTGGGGTCATCAGACCTGGGTTGGAAAATCAACTCTGCCACATACTAACTGTATGATTTCAGGCAAGCTATTCATTTTCTCCATGCCTCTCATCCGTAAAATGGGGATAATAATACCTACTTCAAGAGGATGTTGTATTGATTAAGTAAGAATATAGATTAAAGGACCTGGCACAGTGAGTTACAGGTCAGAATTCTCAATAAATAGAAGCAATGATGATGTGTTGGGGAGACTGAAAGATGTCTATGCTATACCTCCCACCCTGGAGGAAAGGGTTTTGCAGAGACAGAAGTGTAAAAAATTTAGTATCAGTATAAATGATAAATAACAGGGGGTTTTGGTAATACAAATAATGTCAAAGGCAAAGGGACTGAGGGTTTTAGATTAAATGATGTCCGACTGCTTTCAGTTCTACTGCTCCTTGATTTTTCAAAGAGTTGGGCAGGTTAAGTGCTAGAGAAGTTCAAAGGATGCAGAGAAAATTGTCAGGCAGAATGGTCAGTGGTGTCTTATGGAGGAAGGCACACTTATCTGGATCTTAACAATAAATAGGCTTTGGAAAATTTAAAGTGGCTTTTCAAGGAGGTATAATGACATTAAACAGAAATGCAGTGGTGATTGAGAGAAAGACACGTTCTTTGTCAGTGAGTGTACTAATTTAATTGTATTCTTAGTGTTTGGAAAGGTAAATTGCAGGAAATAAAAAAAAAATTGTGCAGGGACTAAAAAGACCGACAAATGAGTTTGAACTTAGTCTTGAAGAGAGTGGGGTGCTATTAAAGGATTATGAGCAGAGAATGACAAATGCAAACAATTTTTCCCCCATGCCCCAGGTTTTCCTCAGCACCAGGAGAGGGTCTTGGATCCTGAATCGTGTAGCAGACTATGGATATCCTTTTGATGTGTTATTCTCTTCTCGATATAAACATTTTCTTTCGAAGATTTGTGGTCAATCATTAGTAAACAGTTTTTTGGAGAAAAAGATGAACCAAAGGTTTGACCACGAGATGTTTGGCCTAAAGCCTAAACACAGGTATGTTACCACGATGGGAGTGGGGCAGTGATGCCCAAGGCGCAGGAATAAGGACTGTTCACACAGGCTAACCACAGAGCTACTTCTACCCATACATTAAGAAAATCCACAGATCTGAGATCAGATTTCTACCTTGCGCCTTATAGAAGTCCGAGATCGACTGTAATCTGTAATCTTCAGCCTATGATTCTCCTTGGCATTAACCATTTGATCATTTCCTCAGATATAAGTTCTTTTTACACAATACCCAGTAACAACCAATTGGTAGCAGATGGCAGTGTATAATTCACTCATTCATCCCACAAACACTGAGCACCAGTTATGAGCCAAGCATTATGCTGCGCATGAGAATACAGAGACTAAAGACCTAATAGTAATACTAGTACAAATAATAACACCTTACTTTTCTGAGGACTTATTATAAGACAAGCACGTTGCTAAATGAGTTCCATGTATGATCTCATTTAATGCTCACAACAACCCTATAGGTTAGAAGTATTTTTTTTAACCTCTATTTTGCAGATATAAAAACTGACACCTAGAGAAACTAATTCGTCTGAGGTCACACAAGAAATAAATGTCAGACTCGAGAAATGGATCTTACCTTAAGTACTCTAAGGAGAAGACAGGCAAGAGAGTATGATAAATGCATGGAGTGTTCTGAGGGTATGAACTATGGGAGACCTCACACAGTCAAGGAGACAAACTGTGAAAGCATTTCTAGAGGCTGATTTTAAATGCTTTTTTCCAACTCTTCATTTTTTTTAAATGTTCAGATTTACTTACTCCAAAATAGTAAGTACAATGAGTACCCATGTACCTTTCACTTAGATTCACCTATCAACGGTTTGCTACATTTGCTTTCTCTCTCTCCCTCTCTCTGAAAATAGATAAATCCCCACATATACAGCATCCATCCATCCATAAATGCATACATACATATTTTTCCTGAACCATTTGAGAGTAAGTCACAGTCACTAAGACACTTTGCCCTACATTCTTCAACATATATTGCCTATGAAATAGGGCATTCTCCTACATAAACGTAACAGAGTGCCCACACAGGAAATTCAGCATTGATAAAATACAGTTTTATATACACAATCTAATATATCACATATTCAAATTTTCTAAATTTTCCCAAGAATATTATTTACAGCTCTCTTATTTTTAAATCTAGGATCCTTTCAGGTATTACCCAATTGCATTTAATTGTCAGGTCTCTTTAGTCTCTCTTCATCTGAAGTAATTTACCATTTTTTGACATAGGCTTTTTTAAAAGAATTGAGCCAACTGTTTCATAGAAAATCTCTAAATTTGGATTCACATAATTGTCCTACCTTTACTATATTCTGGTTAAGCATTTTGGCACAAATACTCATAGGTTATGTTGTACCTTCTTGGTGGATCACACCAGCATCCACATCATATTAATTTCTCCCGTATTAAGGAGGTTAAATATGATCACTTGGATAAGGTGGCACCTACCAGGTTTCTCCTTTGTAAAGATGTTTTCCCTTTGATCAGTGGGGTGATACTTTGAGACTGTGTTCTTTCACTCATTTATTTCACCCAGTTATGGAAACTGTAGCATCCATAACTTTGGTGGTTACAAAATTAATTGAGGCTTTATGCAACAAGAGGAGCTAGCCAAGTAAGTAGGGTAAGGAAGTTGCATTCTAATTCTAAGTACAAGGTCTTAGAATAGTGAAAAATACATTTTGCTCTGGGACTTGCATGTCGTCTGGTTTGGCCAGACTGTAATAAAATGGCAAAGGTGAAAGAGTGATTGAGCACATCTCCAACCTCACCAGACAGGTATATTAAAACCTCTGTGGGGCACCTGGGTGGCTCAGTCGTTAAGCGTCTGCCTTTGGCTCAGGTCATGACCCCAGGGTCCTGGGATCGCGCCCCACATCGGGCTCCCTGCTCGGCGGGAAGCCTGCTTCTCCCTCTCCCACTCTGCCTGCTGGTGTTCCCTCTCTCGCTGTGTCTCTCTCTGTCAAATAAATAAATAAAACATTTAGAAAAAGAGAAAAAAAAACACCTTTGTATACTCTGCTAACTAAAACATTTGGAATCAAGAGTCCAGAGGCATTGAAAGATTTCAAGCAAGTGAGTGACCTACTAATAAATACATTTTGGAACAACCACTCCAAAAATGATGTAGGAGATAGACTGAAGGGGGATGGAGCAGGAGGCCCTACAGACAATTGTAATGGTCTAGGTAAGATAGAAAACAGAAAAATCTACTCTGGAGGTATTAAGTGGAGAAAGGGAAAAGCCCGTGTGACCAGATAGAAGACTCAAGTTTTGTGGCTTAGGCAACTATGTAGATGGTGGTACTGTTTGTGAGAAGCAGTAAGCTTAGAGAGAAAGATGAAATCATGAGGTCAGAATAAGAACAGAACCTGTACCTAAATTCTAAAGGTTAGAGTCAAAGCGTAACTAAATACAACAGACCAGTAACAGTAATGCCATGTTCCTGAGGCTTGGCCATCTCTGTCTGAACATGATGTGCTGAGAATTCTCAGAGCCTATTAACTAAGGGCCCAGGGATCCAGACTGATTTTTAGAAAGGTCCAAGACACTAGAAACCCTATTTTTTTTTTTTTTTTGGCAGTCTTTATCCTATGCCTTCTCTACGAAAATAGTACTTAGCAGGCCCAGAGGCTCCCAAGGAATTCATGGAAAACCATTTTGACATACATTCTAAAATCCTAGTCTGTGTAACCTTGGGCAAGCCACTTCTGTAGGCCTCAATCTCATCTCTAAACTTGGATAATGACACCTGTCCTGCCTCCTTCATTGGGTTTGTGTGAGACTCAAATAAATGAATGTATATAGAATCAATTTATAACTATAAATCCCTACATACATGTCATTTGAAAAGGATGGTCTAATTCTAGTTCTTGGGCCTTTGAAACTAGAAATGAGACTCAATAGAATGCAGACAGTCCAGTTCTCCAGACCTACTGATCTGTGGATAGAATCTATGGGCCTGTGGCCTTACCATATCACTGAGAATATTACTACTATTCTTTGAGAAACCATTCAAATAAGACCATTCCTCTTTTAGTTCTCCAATGTCTTCTCTTTTTTTAGATTTTATTTATTAGAGAGAGAGAGCACAAGCAGGGGAGGAGCAGAAGGAGAAGCAGAACCCCCACTGGCAGGGAGCCCGATGCGGGGCTCGATCCCAGGATCCTGGGATCATCACCAGAGCCGAAGGCAGATGCTTAACCGACTGAGCCACCCAGGAGCCCCCGTCTTCTCTTTCAATGCCATCCAGGTCCCAACTTCTGCTCTGAGATCCTAAACTGTGCCAAGCTGGGATACATTAGAGATTTCCCAAATTTCATGGATAGACCAGAGAGAGACCATTAGCATATTGTTTAACCACCTCCATCAAAGTAGAATTTTACTGACATGTTACCAATACCCCTTTTTGTTTCTTGCATTTCTCTTTCATCTAATCTTTCTCACGACTTACAGAGCTCTGAGTCAACATCCAACGCTGAATGATGACCTGCCAAATCGTATAATATCTGGCTTGGTGAAGGTGAAAGGCAACGTGAAGGAATTCACAGAAACGGCTGCCATATTTGAAGATGGCTCCAGGGAGGACAACATGGATGCTGTCATCTTTGCCACAGGCTATACCTTCGCCTTCCCTTTTCTTGAAGATTCTGTCCAAGTAGTCAAAAACAAGATTTCCCTGTATAAAAACGTCTTCCCTCCAAACCTGGAAAAGCCAACTCTTGCAATCATAGGCTTGATCCAGCCCTCGGGTGCCATTATGCCCATTTCAGAGCTGCAAGGACGCTGGGTCACTCAAGTATTTAAAGGTAAGTGACCGTGCAAGTTGACTCCCTAACTACTTAGTGGTATGTTTAGTTATGTTCATGTTCTTGCTTTTAAATAGCTAAACAGTGTGTATGACTGTAACAGTGCCTGGCGTAAAATCAGTGCTCAAAATTATTTTTGAGTGAACATAGAGTAATAACTTAGAACTGTAGACATATATTGGAATCTCCTGGGAAATTTTCCCAAAATAGGTATGCTTTGCCTGGTGGTGTTTCTTTGATAAATCTAAGTGGGGCAGGTGTAAGATCTCTGAGAAAATATTCCTCCATTGATCCCTATGGGCACTCCAGAGTAGAATCCACTCATCTGATACATATTTGTGAAGCAAAAGAATGTAATCTTTCATTATAGGGAAAAGCAACTATAGAAATTGTGTGATTTGATTTCAACCAAAAATTAAGACCTGGTTAAAGACTAGTCCACAATGTATAAGATTCAACCTCTCAAATTCCTACTTTCCCCCTTTTATATCCCCTCTTCCAGTTTTGGGTAGGAGAACATGAGAAAATATTTTAGGGTTTGGGATAATAGGCTAAATATGAGTCAGGAGAATGATATAGCTTGTGAAAGGCTTAATTATCTCTAGCAGCATTAAAGAATTACAATGTCGTAGAATTTACAATTGTTCTTCTCTAAGAACTTAAATTGTTCTTGTTTAAACTGGTCAGCACATACCCAAAGACCTATTTTATTTTATTTTACTTTTCCCAAAGACCTATTTTAAAAGTGAAACTGGGGTGCCTGAAAAGGAGAGAGACAAGAATGGTTAAGGGATTTGAAAACGACATTTGAAATACAACTGAAGGAGCCAGAGGGGTTTACCTAGAGAAGATAAGATTCAGGGGCAGTATGAGCGTTCCCTTCAAAGGTTTGAAGAATGTCCCATGGCAGAAGGATCTGATTTGCTCAGTATCACTTCCAAGGGTTGAACCAGAACCAAGGAGTGAAACTTTGAGGGTTGCACAAAATCAGCTTAACATTAAAAACAAACACACCAACCTTTTTTTTTTTGGTCAGCTATTGCCATATCAAGACGGAATGGGCTGCCTCTGAAATTGTGAAGAATCCAAGCAGAATAGGAAAAAGCTTATCTTTATAGGACTTTAGGCATAAAATGGGATCAAGAATTTTTCCTTCTTTCCCTGTGGGATAAAGCCTATTTGTTACAAAGAGTACAAATGTGGGCGTGGTTCCCCCCACTCTGCCCTTTTACTTCCTTCTTTAATTTTCATATACTTTTGGGACCATTTATTATTTCCTCTTGTCCATTATTTAATTTTCCAAATTGGAAGATGATGTTAGGGAGGAGGAAGGTATTGGTTAGAAGCCAGAATAGGAGAAATATCTTCCAAAGACAAAGTA